ATCCCCTAAAAGATCTGGAACTGCGAGAGGGCACAGGCTGGGCTGAGGGGACCCCTCCCTCCCCAATGCACAAATTTTATGCACCAGGCTTCTAGTAATTTATAATCATTTACCAATTTTGGCCTTCTTCAGGGACCTTAACAGTGGGGTCTTATACCCTTAATGAATGGGAAGCTTGGAGGAATTGCTGGTAACATGACAAATTTAAAAAGGATCTTTTTGATGTCTAAAAATAGACCGAAAGGGGCAAGGTACACCAGTTAAAAAGTTTATTTAAACTTTTTTTAAAAAATTAATTTCTTTATTGATTAAGGTATCACATATTTGTCCTCCCCCACCACCCTCCTATTGTCTTTGACCACTGGTTAGGCTCATATGTATGCACATAAGTCCTTTGGTTGATCTCTCCCTTTTATCCCCACCCTCCCTTTGAGGTTCAACAGTCTGACCCATGGCTCCTTATCTCTGGGTCTGTTCTTGTTCATCAGTCTATGTTGTTCACCATTTCCCCTAGATGAGTGAAATCATGTCCTATTGGAAATATACTTATAAAAATAAAAAATGAGACAAGCAATAATCTTTATGCTGAAAGTAGCCTATGAATCAGTCTGTAGTGAGTTTCTTTCTGGGCCACCAGTTCTTTTGAGACCCAATTTCAATGTCTAACAGTTCCTTATGTGTACATGTCAGCAATGATATTTCAGTTCTGGATGGTGGGCAAATGGTGGTAATGCAGTCCAACCCTCTCTGGTTTGGTCCTGGGCAACCTGCAGTGATACACAGCTGCTGACTGCTATGATGGTACAGTGTCATCAGCGACTTCCATCTTTGGACTGCTTCCCTTCTGTCTTCATGGTTGGAGTAGTCCTGTCAATTCCTCTCTGTTGCCAGAATCCACATGGTCTTGGAGTTGTTTTCTGAAAATATACAAACAGACTGAAGGGGGCAATGTATACCAGTTAAAAATTTTATTTAAACTGTGAGAGATAATGAGTAGCATTCCATTGTGTGAATGTACCACATTTTTCTTATCCATTAACTTTTTTCTTTAGTATTATTGACATACTAGAGGCCCAATGCAAAAATTTGTGCAAAAGTAGGTATTCCTAACCATGGCTACCGGTACCGGCTTCCTTGTAGCACCTGGGACCCGGGCTTCTTGCTCAGCTCCGGCTTCATCTGGAAGGTCATCTAGAGGGACACCCGGTCTAATTAGCATATCATGCTTTTATTATTATAGATGATGTTGTATTAGCATTAGCTTAAGGTATATAACATAATGATTTGATATATGGATGCATTGTGACATGATTACCACAATAACTCTAGTTAACATCCATCACCATACATCAGCAATTTCAGCTGGTATGCTGCAAGAATATTTAAAACATGCAATACCTGACTAGTCAAGGGTACTGACTTTTATCTTAGACCCTCAAATAAAAGTGACAACAGCCAACACAATAGTAGCTGTTCCCTGTGAATGCCCTGTCTTGTACCATAACATAGTTGTAGCTTATTGGTCATATAATAAGGTTGTATAACAGAGTTGTATCTTATTGATCACATAATAAGTTTGCATCTGATTGGTTAATTCTTGGTACCAGAAATTAACCAATGATTTTTAAAAAAGTCACCTTAGAGCAAAAATGGTAGGTAATTACTATTCTTATATTTTTGTTAGTAAATCAAAATTATACCTACTTCTTGTCAGGTCAGAAGAATATGTAATACATTTTTTGGTGTACCACAGAATTTTAGTAATTAGTTTATATGTTCCATGAGATGAAAAAGGTTGAAAATCGTTGCTTTACATAGTTACAGTATTTTTTTTATGATGAAAACTTTTAAGATCTCTTCTCTTAGCAACTTTCAAATATACAGGCAGTTCTTGGGTTATGTCAGACTCAATATATGTCATTTCGTGGTTATGTTGCCATTTCCCATTTACAGTATTTGTAAAAAAAAAAAAAAAAAAAAAAAAAAAAAGCCCATCATTTGGTTGTATGTACATAATGTGCTTTATTTTTTTATTATTATTTATTTACCACAAGTAAAGGTCAGGAATTTTTATCTTTTAATTAATTAATTAATTAATTAATTAATTTTCTTTTATTTTTTATTGTTTTCACTTCATTACTGCTGTGTATGTGCTCCATGTGAGTGACTTAGGTGCTTACATAGGTGGGTTCCGACTTACAGTGAAAATCGCATTATGCCACGCTGTAGGAACAAATCTCCGAAGTAACCTGAGGACCTACTGTATAATAGAGTATTATTCCCTACTTGAGGCCTGGTGCACGGAATCACGCACTGGTGGGGCCCTCAGCATGGCCTGCAGGGATCTGGGGAGGAGCCTCTCATCCTGGTCAGCTGAGTGGCACTCCCGCTGTGGGAGCGCACTGATCACCAGGGGGCAGCTCCTGCATTGAATATCTACCTCCTGGTGGTCAGTGTGCATCATAGCAACTGGTTGACCTGTTGCTTAAGCTTTTATATATACATAGTTACCAGACTGTATATTTCATCCCCAGAGGTTATTTATCTTTTGGAAGTTTGTACCTTTGACTATCATTCCCCCCACCATTGGCTTCTGGCAATCACCTATTTCTTCTGTTTCTATGAGCCTTTTGTTTTTGTTTTTGGATTCTACATATAAGTGAGATTATATAGTGTTTGTCTTTGTGCAACTTAGCAAAATGCCCTTAAAGTCCACCCAAGTGGTAGGATTTCCTTCTTTTTTTATGGTTAAATAATATTCCATTGTGTGTGTGTGTGTGTGTGTTTGTGTATTTCACATTTTCTTTATCCATTTATCTGTTAATGGACACTTAGTTTGTTTCTGTGTCTTGGCTTTGTGAATAATATTGCAGTGAACATGGGGGTGCAGATGATTTTTCAAGATAGTGATTTTGTTTCCTTTGTGTATATACACAGAAGTGGAATTATTGGGTTATAAGGTAGCTATATTATTAATAGTTTGAGAAACATCCACACTGTTTTCCACAGAGGCTGCACCAATTTACATTCCCACCATCAGTGCACCAGGGTCCCTTTTTTGCATGTCTGCATCAGCACTTGTCGTCACTTGTCTTTTTGATGATATCATTCCAACAGGTATGAGGTGATGTCTCATTGTGGGTTTTTTTCTTTTTTAATCCTCACCTAAAGTCATTTTTCCCATTGCTTTTTTCAGAGACAGTAGAAGGGAAGGAGGGTGGGGGTGGGGGGAGAGAAAGGGTTAAAGAGAGATGAAGAGGGGCGGGAGAGAGAGAGAGAGAGAGAGAGAGAGAGAGAGAGAGAGAGAGAGAGAGAGAGAGGAGACAGAGAGAGGAGAGAGAGAGAGAAGACAGAGAGAGGAGAGAGAGGGAAGAGAAGCATCAGTGTGAGAGAGATAAATCGACTGGTTGCCTCTTGCACGAGCCCTGACTGAGGGTGGGGAGTGGACCCGTAACCCAGGTATGTGCCCTTGACTGGGATTGAATCCAAGACCTTTTGGTGTGCAGGTCAATGCTCTAACCACTGAGCAACACTGATCAGGGCTCTCGTTGTGGTATTGATTTGCATTTCCTGATAATTAGGGAGGGATCACTTGTTGATGAACATTTGTGATTTTTTTCCCCCCTCAGTTTTGAGGTGTTTTGACTAAGGCTTCTGTGAATATTCATGTACTAGCACAGTGCTTCCCAAACTTCTCTCATGATGAGAATCACCTGGTGGAGTTGTTAAAATACAGATTCCTGAATCCCAAGTAAGAAGTGCTAAACTAGAATTTTTGGGAACATATAGGTAAAATTATATACTTAACGAGTGCTCAAAAATTTATGTTTCCCAAAATTCTAGTTTAGCACTTCTTAGTTGGGACTCAGGAATCTGTATTTTAACAACTCCACCAGGTGATTCTCATCATGAGAGAAGTTTGGGAAGCACTGTGCAAGCACAAGCTTTTATGTGAACATAAATTTTCAGGGCTTTTGGCTAAATCTCAGCAGTGGAATGACTGGATCCTGAGTTAAGTCTGTGTTTAACTCCTAAGACACTGCTGAACAGTTTTCTAAAGTGTTTGTACCTTTGTGCATTTCCAAATACAATGTATGAAAGTTCCAATCGCTTTACCACCCAGTGGGCTCTTGGTCTTTTGCATGTAAGCCATTCTAATAGGGGTGTAATGTTGCCTTGCTATGGCTTTCATTTGCATTGTTCTTGATGGCTGATGCCGATGGTGCGTGGATTTTAATTTGTTGACCTGGAAAGTGGAAACTTTGATTCCTGTCTGCTGAGGCTCACAATAACTTTTGTTTATTAATTTATGTATTTCCAATCATTACACTTTAAACATGTTATCTTTCCCTCTTAATTTTGATGCCTCACAATAACTTATAAAAGTACTCAAAAGGTAGACTATGATTTAGTGAAAGTTGATAGTGGCCTATATCATTCATGGTCTTCTTGTTTGGAAAATGAATACATTTAAAACGGGAATGTATAATACGATATCATTAAATGTCAATCTTACTTCAAAAACTATATTTGATTTTTTTTTACAGAGAGGAAAGGAGAGGGATAGAAAGTTAGAAACATCAATGAGAGAGAAACATCGATCAGCTGCCTCCTGCACACCCTCTGCTTGGGGATGTGCCCGCAACCAAGGTACATGCCCTTAACCGGAATCGAACCCGGGACCCCTCACTTCGCAGGCTGACGCTCTATCCACTGAGCCAAATCAGTAAGGCTCAATCTTACTTTTAAGTCATCTATATCTGATAGTGTAATTTAAATGTGCCTTACATAGGGTCTGATTGTTCCTTTCTACACTTTATCATTTGGTAGCATTCTGTATGATAATAACAGGCCTAGGAAACATGCATGATCTCTGGGAGCTGGCTGAAAGGAGTCTTGGAAATTACCTTGGTAGCATTCTGTGGGATCATAGCAGGCCTAGGAAACATGCATGATCTCTGGGAGCTGGCTGAAAGGATTATTGTCCCTTACTGTTTCAGGTCCCGGATGTCATCAGCAGCATCAGGCAGTTGTCCAAAGCGGCCATGAAGGAGGATGCCAGGCCCAGCAAAGACAGCGAGGACGCCTTCTACAACTCGCAGAAGTTCGAGGTGCTGTACTGCGGGAAGGTGACCGTGACCCACAAGAAGGCGCCGTCCAGCCTCATCGACGACTGCATCGAGAAGTTCAGCCTGCACGAGCAGCAGCGCCTGCGGGGCCAGGGCGAGCCCCGCGCCGTGTTCGACGTGGAGGGACCCGGCGCTCCCGCAGACATCCTGCTGGAGGAGGGCGACGGCGTCCCCGACGACACCCCCGACGGCACCCCCGCTGCCTTCCCAGCCGCGGCCCCCCAGCCCGCGCCGGCCGCCGGCTCCCGCGTGTGCTTCCCCGAGCGGATCTTGGAGGACTCCGTCTTCGATGACCCGCAGGAGTTCCGCTCCCGGTGCAGCAGCGTCACGGGCGTCCTGCCCAGGAAGGTCCCCGAGAACAGCCACAAGCCGCAGCCCCGGAGGCGGCACGCCAGCGCGCCCAGCCACGTGCAGCCCTCGGACTCCGAGAAGAACCGGACCATGCTGTTCCAGGTGCTGCGTGCAGGGGGCGCCGCGGCGCCTCAGCCCAGGCTAGGCAGAAGCATGGGGGCCTGTGCCTGCCACTGCCTCCTCCTGCAATAATCCAGCTTTTATTTCTCCCCACCTTGGGGAGCAGTAAGGCAGGTGGAGAAAGAGAAAGGAAAGGAGAGGAGGGCGGAGAGATAGGCACTGGGATGTGGATTGTTGGCAATGAGGGAGCAGGAAGAGATGGAGAGAAAAGCAATGAAAAGAAAGGAGATTTCGGGAAAGCTAGTGGAAAGTGTAAGCACAGAAGAGGACTCCTAATATCACCAGCAATTTGCCTGAGGGGGATTTGTGAATAGCAGTTGCTGTTTTTTGTTTGTTTGTTTGTTTGTTTTTTGTTTTAAATAACTGTAGAAAGCCAGTTTTTTTGCTATGTTGTTGTTTATGGGGGTCCACAGTGACCCTCAGTCACAACTTTTAATTCATTTGGGACCCTGAAGGGGCAGTTTTATCTTTACATTTTTTAAAAAACACTTTAAAAAAAAATATATATATTTTATTGATTTTTTTTTTTACAAAGAGGAAGAGAGAGGGATAGAGAGTTAGAAACATCCATCAGCTGCCTCCTACATACCGTCTACTGGGGATGTGCCCACAACCAAGGTACATGCCCTTGATTGGAATCGAACCTGGGACCCTTCAGTCCACAGGCCCGATGCTCTCTCTATTCACTGAGCCAAACCAGTTTCGGCCTTTTTTTTTTTAAATCCTCACCCAAGTATATGTTTATTGATTTTAGAGAGAGGAAGGGAGAGAAGACATCACTCCCCGATCAGTAGCCATGTGCCCTGACTGGGAATCAAACCCACAGCCTTTTGGTGTATGTGGTCAGTGCTCCAACTAACGAAGCCACACAGCCAGGGCCAGAAAGTCAGTGTTATAGATTATTTAACGCTGTGAATCTGGAGGAGAGAAAAAGGAAAAGTCCAGAGGCTTATAGGGTGCTTTCAGATAAGATTATACACAAAAGAGAAGGTTAAAGAAAGACCAGCAGCCTCCTTATTTAATGGATCTAGGGACTGGATCTAGGGATTACAGTAATTTGGTGCACGGTCTATTTATTACAGGTATAAAAGATACCATCTTAATTATAAACTTTTTGAAGTTTTATAGGATATCACTTAAAAGAGCTTAATGTGTTACAAAGCATTGTAGAGGTTCTTTAATCCTGAGTTTGTAAGGTTAGTTTTCTTTAAAAAAAAAAAAATGTTGCTGTCCTTTATATCCTGTTATAAAGAAGCCAGAAAAAGGAAATTCCACAGCATAATTTGGTAAACAGTCCCTGTGTGTAATATTTCCTTTGTCAGAAGTTCATGAGTTCTTTAGTTTTGTTCTTTATAAAAAGTTAATATCACTCTAAGCGTATTATTAAAGTGTCTATCAGCTTGCCTTTGGTGAGGTGTAAATGTTCACCTCTTCTTTGGGCTGTTGGATTTATTCTTTTTCTTAGATAGCCATAGTCCATGATGTTAATTTTTCTGAAGAGTTGTTCACTTTAAAAAATTTAATTATCTGGCCAATGGCAAGTAGTATTTCTCTTTGTTGACTATTTGGGAGAAGTTTATGATTATAAATTATAATTAAATAATTGGTAGTTTTAGAAATGACAAAGTAAAGAAAGGTTACTTTTTTTTTTAAAGAGATAAATCACTTTTAATCTGAAAAGGTATCTTGTAAATTAAGATCAATTAATTGTTATGATGTTTAGTCAAAAGAAAGGAATATTATGAGGCTGCTGATATGTGGAGTTGAAATATTGGTTGCATTGGATGATGAAACACATGTGCAAATGCATATCTGGAGATAGCATTTGAATCTATATTATTAGTTGACTATTTAATCATAAAGTAGGATATTAGGCTCTTGAGTGTTGAAATTAATTGGAATGTTTTTACTTTTAAGGTTGGGCGGTTTGAGATTAACCTGATCAGTCCAGACACTAAATCAGTTGTGCTTGAAAAGAATTTTAAAGATATCTCTTCTTGTTCTCAGGTATGTATTGAAGTAAATCATAGCTTTGAGGAAACCAACCAAATCCTGTTTCTAAATTAGCCACAAAGTAATTGGGCTTAAACATCTTCAAATTGGACTATTTAAATAAAAAATTAAACATTTTAAGTGGATTTGTCTTAGGTTGAGAGTGTTCATGTGTTTGTGTCTATGTCAGTAACAAAAGCCTGCTTGGTTCCTTAGTGTCAGAATATCGTGTCCTCATTTTGATCAGCCATTTCTTTTCATAGCATCACTTCATTAAATTCTCCCCACTGCTGGAATTTTTGTGGTGATGAGTTCTTTTGAAAAACACCTTCACAGATAGTGTTCCTCCAAATCTTGGTCAATGGGATTTGTGGGCATCACTGAGTCACGCTTGTTCTTGACACCATAGTCGTCAGTAAAAGGAGAACCGGTACTTTCAAATTCTGTTAATGGAAAGCCTAAATTTTGAAAATGTTCTTTGGTTTATTTTGTTCTTTGGTTTATTTTGAATTCATAAACTGTGTCTTTAAAACTTGTTTAAGTAACTGACACAGTTAAATGTGTACAAGTCATATTAGACACAAGCTAGTGTCCTGAATACCATACTGATAAATTAGAACATCTATCCAAAAGTTAGAACTACCTAAATATATTGTAAATATAGAAAAAAAATTGTGAAGATGTTGGAGTAGAGGGAGTATCTAAATCTAAATATGGGCAGGTTAAAAATGCAAGGATGCCTCTGGAATAGAGAAGGATTAACTTCTTTCCTAGCAGGGTGACTTAGATGTACCTACAGGGACCTGATTGTGCCAAGATCTCTCCCTATATTTTTAAAATATATTTTATTAATTTTTTATAGAGAGGAGGGGAGAGAGAGAGTTAGAAACATTGATGAGAGAGAAACATCAATCAGCTGTCTCCTGCACACGCCCTACTGGGGATGTGCCTGCAACCAAGGTACATGCCCTTGACCGGAATCAAACCTGGATCCCCAGGCTGATGCTCTATCCACTGAGCCAAACCAGTTAGGGCTCTTCCTATGTTTTAATGTTGAAAAATCAAGACTTTTAAACATTAATTTTTAGAGAGAGAGGAAAGGAGAGAGTGGGGAGATAGAGAAACATTGATGTGAGAGTGAAACATGATTTGCTGCCTTCTGCATGCCTCCTACTGGGGATCTAGTCCAGAACCCGGGCAAGTGCCCTGGCCTGGAATTGAACCAGCAACTTTTCAATGCATGGACTGAGGCCCAACCAACTGAGACACATTGGTCAGGGCAAGACTGTCTTAAAAAAAAGATTGTTTTTGGAGTTAGCATTACATAGGTATGATATTCAGACATTTTTCCCTTCGAAAATGACAAGCTTTTGCATATCTTGTTAATTATCCACATCAGCCTCAGCTAATGCTGTTTCATTTTGTCCTATTATATGAAGACATAAAATTAGGTTGTAAAGGTAAACATTTTCTACTCTAATAAGAGATAGAAGCAGCATATCTCTATAGGAAGAATATATTCCAAATTTCTAAATTCCCACTTAAAAGACAACAAATTGAGTAGAAAGATGATTCACTCTGATGGAAAAAAGTATTTTATTGAGCATTCTCATAATTATCTGTTTACTCGGAGATCCTAAGCTCGGTGAGGGCAGGTGTTTTATTCTGTGGTGTCTTATTCTACAGAGCATCAGAAGAAGATGTGTTAACACAGTCTTCACACATAGGTATTCAGTAACTGTTGAGTGGATATTTCTACATGTAGGGCCTTGTGCCAAGTACTGGGGAGAGAGTGGTGTATAACTAGAGTGGTTACTGCCTCACTCCCCCCAGGGCACAAAGAATTATCCTAAAAAGTGCCGCTTACCCCACAGTCCCCACACCTTTCTGTAAGAAAACTGGCAATGCTCATTGAACACCCAAGGAAAAAACAACTAGTTAAAAAAACAACAAACCCAGCTAAGTCCAATATGTAAAACTGGCAGTTCAAATGTGGCTTTTGCCCCCCAGCTTTTTAAAGCAATCTTTCTATTCTGACATTCTAAACAAAAATATGACAGAAATTTGTGGAAAAGCCTTTGAATGGAATCATTGTCAGGTGAACCCTTGCTCCTCACTGAGTGGCTCTGCTCTTATTCTCTCTCCAGAATGGAACTGATGTCACGTGACCGCTTTCAGGAATAGGCCTGTTTTTTAACACATGCACACCTACTAACATTTCATTCTTCGGAATCAGTATGACTGTGTCCCTGGCAAGCAGGGGGAACAGGAGAGTGGTTTTCTGCACTGGAAACAGTGCCCCTGCCTGAAGACTCAGTGAGCTAACGAGGTCCTGTGAATTTTTCCCATTTAGTACTAAGCTAGTAAATGATAGTCTTTCATCACCAATGAGTTGTACCAGATGGAGCTGACTTTCACCTCATGAATTGTAGCCTCACTCCTCACTACAGACTTTTTCCTTTTTATCAGAGTTGATTTCCTCTCACCATATCTAATACCCGTGTTTCCCCGAAAATAAGACCTAGCGCATGGAAAGATAAGACATCCCCTGAAAATAAGACCTAGCGCAACTTTGGGAGAAAAAATTAATATAAGACACTGTCTTATTTTCGGGGAAACAGGGTAGGTCGCGTGAGCTTATTATTACAAGAATAGTGGTTACCATTTAGCAAATGTGCCAGGAACTATGATAGATGTTTCTTAGTTCCAAATCACAAAAATGTTTTGCCATTAGTGCCATTTTCACCCTTTCATAACAAAAAAAAAACCCAAAACGGAGCCTCAGAGGTAATTACTAGCAACCCAGCACAATGCCTCATACCCACTAGGTGGTTGAACTAAGATCGAAACTCAAATCTGTCTGAATCCATACCCCACACCCTGCACACATTTTTTTCCCCCCCTCATTGGGATTTAGGTTGACTGTAGGACAACTTTAAATTTTTGCCTACCTGGCTTTTCAAAATCCCATGCTTGCTATTAAAATAACAAGGTATTGTCTACTAATTGGCATGTATGCATTCAGGCTGACTGAGATTCACAAATGACTCAGAATCTTTTTAGTAAGTGTAGCTGAGTTTATTTAGCTTAGCCTACATTCAGGGAGCACAGTGATCTGTGCATTTGGATAACTGACACCTGCAATAATTTCTTTAATGTATTGTTTTTCTAGCAAGCACAGCTCGTTAAGGTCTCTAAATAGATAGATGTTCTGGTGTTTTTAATGCACATGTTAGGGACTTGTATGCCATTTAATTAGAGCATTGCTAGATGTGGCTTTTCTGATTCTGAGCCTCTTGGAAACAGGGTTTATGATGAATCACCAGACTGCCCCTTCACTGAGGAACAGTTCATCATATTTTTCTCCTGTGACACTGAGTAAACAATGTTTCTTTGAAATATATATATATATATATATATATATATATATATATATATATATATATATATATATTAAATAGAGTTTTTGGTCTCACCCTTTATTTTATGTATCAAAAGGCCACCATATAAATGTGGTGTGACATTATGTTCTCTGTCATAGTGCTGTGAGGAGCCTGGTGGGAGTGTGGAAGCACAGAACTAATGCTGATTTTCATAGCGTTGATTAAAAGGACATATTCCCATAAACACCGCTTCTTTCCCTGCCAGGGCATAAAGCATGTGGACCATTTTGGCTTCATCTGTCGGGAATCCCCAGAGCCTGGGCTGAGCCAGTACATCTGTTACGTGTTCCAGTGTGCCAATGCATCTCTGGTAAGTGGCGTGGTTGTTTCTGCCCAGAATTTCGCTAACGGGAGGCACGTCTCTTATGACCCAAGCCTCCCAGAACAGCTGCTAGTGGAAAAGGAAGAGGACACCTAGAACAGGCTCTGCTCTTCAAAGGAGCAACAAGCATAGGGAACACAGAAATGGCCATGGTCATTTTTAAGCTGAGATACTTAATAGATTTTGGCAAATTCAGTCATCATACCAGGAGTATGTTTAAAAAGTAGGAAAAGACTAACAAGAGAGCTGTTACTTTTTTCATTGCTCATGTAAGAATATAAGGAAGGCCACTCCCCTCGTATTTCCTTCATTGCTATAACATCTCAGAATACATAATGCTACCGAGAATGACTTTGTTTTATTTCATTAGCCCTGTCCTCAGTTTGAGAATACTTCATTCTTTATGGTCTTAAGCCTTCTTTTTCTGTCTCTGGAGTTGGAAAGTTGATTCATGTCTTCAAAACCCTCCACTTTTTATGGAGGCTGTTGGAGTTTGGAAGAAATATATAAGGCACACTTGGAAATACATGCGAGTGAATAAAAATATATTGTTATTTCCCCCTAAAATGTCTTCCTCCCCCCCCCCCCACTTGTGTTATCTTTCCTAGCCATTTTAAAACAAACCTTTACATATAACGCCATCATTTGAAGAAAAATGTTTCCTTAGACATACAATGATTTCTCCACAGACATTTCTCCTACACACACCTTAGACATACTCAAACGAGCCAGGCAGCATTCTCTTCATTTCCTTGGTGCATGATTCCGGTGTGGCTCTTGCCTTCCATAGTCTCAGCCTGGAGACTGCGTTTGGAAATAATCAAGAAATGGAAGTACGTGGATTCCAAGGCACCTTCTGACTCATGCCTTCTGGGTCTCAACCTTTTCCTCTAAGGATTATAGTATTCTTGCCACTGACCGTTTCTTATTCAAGAGTGGTCCATATGAGTTTTGTTCTCAGTCTAAGTAATTAATTACACCCATGGCAAATCCAAATGTTGGTATCCAGGTGGCCACTCTGTAATAGTTTAGTTCAAGATTTGAGAGAGAAATTGGAGGGATGGTGTGAAGTAGATGACAGTTGAAGGCATGGAAGTGAATGAGCACCATGGGGGAAGTAGGAGAGAGAAAGCAAAGAGAACCAATGACTCAACACAGGGAAGTGCCCACCAATCTGTCACCCATGCCCACTGCTTCACTGCCCCTGCTCAGTTCATTCCTTACTACTTCCCTTCTCTGTCCTTCTTTTCCATCTAAGACTGATTCTTCCACCAGTTTTTGGATCCTTTACTCTCCTCCCTTCCCCAAACCTGTCCTGTGGGCCACATTTTATTTTGGCAGCTCAATGCATTTCAACACCTTCTATACCCCTGTTCACTAAATTCTATAAATTCAAGATAGAAATATTCCTTATATCCATCTTGCCTCTCTTTCTTCTCTGTCTGCTTCTTGACTCTGGGCATTTATCTTCTTACACTACTAGAAGCCTAATGCATGAAATTCGTGCATGGTAGGATCCTTAGGCATGGCTGGCGATCAGGGCCAATCTGTGGGGTGAATAGCAAGGTGATTGGGAGGCCCTCCGCTAGCACCTACATTGGCCGGCCTGATATTGCCCGCTCGCCAGTCCTGCCCCCGACTGTCACCACTGGTGGCCTCTTTCTTTGGGTGGGGTGATTGGGAGGCCCTGCTGGCACCCACTTTGGCTGGCCTGGGGCCTGTGTTGAGCGTTTGCCCTCTGATGGTCAGTTCACATCATAGCAACTGGTCATTCTGCCATTTGGTCAATTTGCATATTAGGCTTTTATTATATAGAATTGCATTTGAGTTTTAACTAGTCTCCCCACCACTGGTTTAACCTGTCATCTAGCCAGTTTCCTTGCTCACAACATTTCCTCATCAAAAACCAGTTTATGCCTCCTTGGTCTGGGACAAAAATCTAGATGGTCTAGCATGGCAAAGGGCTCCTCATTCTCCGTCAGTCTCCACCCTTTCATGACAACATCCGCACACATGCTGTTCTGTCCCTGAGCTGCTCTCCAGGCCAGACCTCGAAGACTGGAGTGACACTCGGTGTGATGTTGCTTTTGTTTGGTTTGCCGTTGAATCAGCAGATACTGTGTGCATGTGACACATGAGATCTAGGATTTAAGTCAGTGGCTGGGGCTCACAGAAGTGCAGTTCAAGTTCAGAGGTCACTGTTGGTTCTCGCATGAAGGGAAGAGCCTGCCGTGTCAGACAGCCAGAGCCAGGGCTCAATGCTTTATGCTCCAGGTGGGAAGGAGACCACGTGGGCCTCAAGGGTCCACCCTGCCGCTAAAGGAGGAGATGGTGCCGGCCTTCGTTATCTGTGTTCACATTCTCTTTCCTGCTGTGTCATTGGTTGCGAAGCCGGCCTGGCCTTGCTCTCCTGTGGCCTGAACCCACTTCCTCTTCTTTCCTGCCACACACTCATTAGGATCCAGCTTACCTATCACATCCTAGCGAAGCCGCCGCTTTCAGGAATCAACTTCAGTTGCTCCGTCCTCAGGGGGCTTGCCTTGTGCCTAGGTCACTAGCAGTTCTGACAAATCCCCACACTTATTTATTGTTCACAACTTCCTACCCCACTAGACTGTGAATGCCACTGGGTTGGGGTTGGCACCATTTGTATTCTTGTTGTATCCCCTCAGTGCTCCTAGGATATTGGGGGCTTGGGAATAGTATTTTAGTGACTGAAAGTGTATTATTCTTAACTTCAAGCAATCCTTTTCAGGGTGCTGGGTCATCTTCGAGGACTGGGTGATCTACATTAAAAGGAAGACTGTGGAAACCTTTTTACTTCCAACCTCTTTTACAAGTCTTGCTTTGTTTGTAGTTTTAGTATATTTGTTTTACCCTCGTGCATATAGAATGAGTTTTGGAAACAGGGATTCAGAGTAGAAAGTCTGGGGATGTGCTGTGTCTTTCCACCCTAACAAGCTCCGTGACTAAGGCAACAGACAAAACTGGCTGAGAATGCCTTCCTTCCTGGTACATAGAAGCTGGACTAGAATCCCAGTTTGGGCACCATTATTCTGAAGGACAGGCCCATGCTAGAATCTTTGAAACTCTGTTTATTCTAATTTTATCAGAAGGCATCTTAACAGAGCAGCGAGTCATCAGAACTTCAAGCCAGGAGGAAAAAAAAAAAAAGTAAATTTCCTGCTTCACAGAGGATGGCCCAAGCAGCTGACATATGGCACAAAACAACACAGTCAATTAATTAGTATAGGTCTGAGCACAGTGTTATGATTGATGTGGCTTGGCAGTTGTGTAAAACAGAATATTGTGAAACTGCAACATGCTGACTTCTCTGAGTACAAAGAATACACAACTAGCATTTTTTCCCCCTTTTTTGTAGCAATTGCTGTGAATTGATAAATAGTATGGTGTTCTGATGGGTGCCGGAGGGTGATACTGGAAGTTTAGAGGTTCAGTACTCCTTCCTTCTTTTGTAAAAATAGCTGTAGGTAGGTAAGTTAATTTTGTTTAACCAACCCCTGAAGTTTGTAGAAAATGCCATTTCTGTTTTTTACAAAATTGGTTTAAAAGGTGTGAAAAAATGAAAGTTATGTTACTTATATTCAAAGAAAAAGTAAAATCCCACGGACAACAATATCCAGGGAAAGTAGAACAATAACAAAAAAAGACCCAGGCTACCAAGACTTAAGATTTAAGATTTAGCAGAAGCCGGTTTGGCTCAGTGGATAGAGCATCTGCCTGTGGACTGAAAGGTCCTGGGTTTGATTCCAGTCAGGAGCATGTGCCTTGGTTGTGGGCACATCCCCAGTGGGGGGTGTGCAGGAGGCAGCTGATCAATGTTTCTCTCACATCGATGTTTCTAACTCTCTATCCTTCTCCCTTCCTCTCTGTAAAAAATCAATAAAGCATATTAAAAAAAAAAAGATTTAAGATTTTACAGAGAGTTAGGCTCCATAATCTTTTGAAGTCTTTACACATTCTGTGATTTTTAAGAATTATTCTAAAATGGTATAAAAATACCTAAGTTTGGCATATAAGTGTTTATGAACATTGTTTTCATTATGAATTTCACCTAGATATCATAAATTGGCTTTTTTTTTTTAAATCTCATCTTGTACTTTTTACTGGAAATTGACTTATGCCTGATGATAGCATTAAGAATACTTTCTTTTTGTTTGCAAATGATTGACTTATTTTTGCCCATTCTTTTACTTTTAATCTCTTTAACACAACCTATGAGTTTTTGTTGTATCTAAACAGAAATAATTAAGTTATTCACAATACATTAATTTGAAGTTGCAGTTTCATAGGCTATATGGGGGGAAAAAGGTGGATAAAAAAAGAAAACATTTTAAATTTTAGAAGTCTAAGTTTTTAGTAATATTTGTGGCAGAAAGGAATTGGTAACCACATTTCAGACATAATTAAAATGGCCTTTTGATTTATCTGGAAATAGGTAAAACATGAAAGTTTAGTATTTCTATTGGAGGCTTTTTACAAGGCAGTATTACTAAATATCAAATTATAACCCTGTATGAAAGCTAATCCCAAGATAAATCAGAAAATAACCATAGAAATAAATGAATAGCTACATAAGTAATTGAAATTGCATTTGAAGACATAACAAGGCAAATGAAATAAAAATGTGAAGGCATTAAACATGTAGTGATTTCATTTTCAAGAACTAGAAATCTTTGCTTTTAATTACAGTATAAAAGAACACATTTTATGAATACTTCATTTTAATTCATAGAGTGATATAAAATAATTCATAAGCCTTATCAAAGATTGGTAATATAGTAAAATGTAACTGAATAGTGACTGGCGGCTTGACATTTGAGCTCTCCTTTTAGTAAGAATAAAGTTTCTTTTTATTCTAAGTTCCACATACACTCAACTGAAGAAGTAGATTGAATCCCTTAAATATTAGGTTATTCTTCAACTAGGGGGGGAATAGTCTTAAAAAACAAACAGTTTACAAGCATGGTGAATGGTTTTGAGTGCCAAAGGTAGTTCTGATGAGCCCTCAGCACTCCGTAGCCCCCCATGCAGAGCCCAGACTTTGAATGCAGTTGGGAAATCTACAGGTAAAATCGATGGTTGTCTCCCAGAGAAGGCGGCATGGCCTGAGGTTGGCTTGACAGTGCTTGAGGATGAGCTGTTAGTTGACGGGAAGGAAGCAACCAAGAAACTAGAATGCTAGACTCACACTTATTGACTGGGTCATTGGAAGAGCAAGGAAGAAAGTAGCCGGCAGGTTTTTATTTTTATTTTTATTTTTATTTTTATTTTTATTTTTATTTTTTACAGAGAGGAAAGGAGAAGGATAGAGAGTTAGAAACATTGGTGAGAGAGAATCATTGATCAGCTGCCTCTTGCACATCTCCTACTGGGGATGTGCCTGCAACCCAGGTACATGCTCTTGACCGGAATCGAACCCAGAACCTTTCAATTCCCAGGCTGATGCTCTATCCACTGAGCCAAACAGGTTTGGGCTAGCTGGCAGTTTTTAAGCTGCTGACCCAGTGGTGAGACCAGCTGTGAGACAACACGATGTCAGAACTTCTTAGTGTCACCAATCGGAAGCAAGACAATACTAAATGAGAAGCCACAGAGATAAGATGAGCAACCTTCATAGTCTTCCCCAACATTATTTAAATGGAACTCATTTCCCCCAGAACTTTGCTTGAATATATTTTGTTTCTACACTAAAAATGATCCAGAAGGGCTATCGGTGGAAGTGGGGGATCCCTTCCCCCATTGGGTGCTGGGGGTCAGGTCCTTATGATATCTTGAGAAAAAAAGAATTTTCTGAGACTCTCACAGGAGGATGAGATGTGGTAGAAAGTTTTATTTTTGTGGAATTACATCCCTGCATTTGCAAAGCCCCATTTCCCTGAATCCAGTCCTGGAAGATGTGCAGCTGGGGATTCAGTAGAGGAGGAAGCAAAGGCAGCATCCAGAGTTTCCTTTCCCTGGCGCAGCCGGGTCCAGGTTAGCATTAGGTTTGTTGCAGCCTGTTAGTCCATTGTGTTGGGTCCATATGGCTGGGGGCCATGTGGGCAGATGCAGGGAAGCCAAGAGAGCGTGTTCCCTGCAAAAGGCAGGCCTCCCAGAGCCAAGAGAGCAAGAACGCCCAGAGTAACCTTCTTTGTGTAGGGCATTAAAATATCTCAAATCTTCCCACACTTGCAGTGGCCACGGCTACTCTGGCCCATGACCTGTTCCCAGGTGTGATTGACAGAGGTGCACCTTTCGTATTTCACCCAGACTTTCCTGGCCATGTATCTATTCATCCCCTGTCCATTCCCTTCCCCCAGTGATCTGTGGGGAACAAACAGGTAGCCCCCTGGGGAGTGTTTAACTGGAGCTTTCTGGCAAAGCTGCACAAATGGCATTCCTATATTTGGTCTTTCCTTTTGCTCCTTTCCAGTTATTCATAACTAGGTTCATTACAATGGTATCAGAAAGACAAAGTAAATGGTATACCCGTTAACCAAGTGAATAGTAAGCCTATTTTGCTGCTCACTATATATTGCAGGGGAAACTTCCAAAGAGACCTTTGTCTGAGGAACGACTTAAACAGAGATCTGATTGACTATCAGACTGGCTGTGCTAGCATAACACTTAGCGGGATTCAAAAATAGCATTCCAGTAACAGACCACTGTTATGTTACACACATTAAAACGGTCTAACTTTACCCAGCTTCCAATTAGATGTATAATTGAAGGTCTGACTTCAAGACAGTATTTTCTAAGAGTTTTGTAGTCAGCAAAATTCTATTATGTATTATTTAGTCAGCATCAATAAAGTCTCACATGGCTGTTGGGGCTGTGATGTGTTTCTGTGAATGCAGACTTTTATAGACCTGCGCTTTGTTTCTTCCTGTAGGTGGATGAGGTAATGCTGACTCTGAAACAGGCTTTCAGCACAGCAGCCGCCCTCCAGAGTGCCAAGACCCAGATCAAGCTGTGTGAGGCCTGCCCCATGCACTCTTTGCATAAGCTCTGTGAAAGGATTGAAGGTATGGTATAGGTTGGCCTTTGCAAACGAGAATGGCTTTGGCATTTGGGAAGTGAGAAAGTGGCTGCTGTCATCAAAAGCTTCTTTGTTTTGAGGTAAAACCAGGAACCAAAGAATCATTTCTCATGTTCAGTCAGATCTGTGTTGTCAGTCTCTCTTAGGTGCTTGGCTTCCTCCCCTTTCTTTCTCTCGTTTTTTTTTATTTTTAACTTTTTTTTAAATTTATTTTATTTTTTATTTATTTATTTATTTTTTTTCCTGAGGACAGACTCAAGGAAGGAACTTGGATTTCCCACAGTTTTTAAGATGTGCTATGTGCACAATGGGAACTGACCAAATATTTGTTGAATGAATGAAGAGAGGCAAAACCATCTCAGAATATTGTCTATTTAAATCTTTCCTTTTTCAAACCCTTTTACTTGATGAGGTAGGCCTTCCCTTACAAGTTTAAGACTGGAATGAAATTGTGTGGTTTTGAGGGACATTTATTTTTATTTTTTTTTCTTTATAATAATGAAGTTTAATATCCATGCCAAATAGAAACAGAATAATCTTTTAATGTGCTAAATTTCTACATGGTTTAAATAAAAAAAGTTTCTATTGCATTTGTGAAAAAAGTCATACAAAGAATTAATACATGAACTCTTAGCAACATAACATCATAAACAAACAATATACCATCCAGACACATTTTAATTTTAAAAACACAGATATATTTACTTATAACATACAGTGAACTTTTATGGTTTAGAGTGAGCACTGACAGAAATAAAAACCTTAAATGCTCATAATTTGATCAAACCAACAAGTTTCTTTACAAAGAGAAATTCTAAGCATAAATCATATACAAAACATGAGCTCAACTAATCTTTACTTACTACATTGATAATCACCCATTATCATTGTACATATTAAAGATTTAAAGCACAAGAAAAACATTGAAGCAAAAACACAGACTAGATTTTCTCCAAACTTCTAAAATTGACTATCGTCATTCCCTTTTCTCACATGCCATTGCATTTGTGACACAACTCAAACACTCAATTATACTATATGGTTTAATTACATAGAAACTACAGATAATTCATTTGGTACCATTCATGGTTTTAAGCTAAGGTGAATCAATGAAACTAGTTCCATTAATTACTTCCTGATTTGATAGATGCTTTGTGGTTATCTCAACATTTCAAAAGTCTTCCCTAATTCCATACATTCTACAGGATGGTATACTTCTTCATAAACAGTATTTTTCTTCCTTATCAACTTATGGGGACACACTTTCATTCTCCATCCAAGTCACTTAGACTTCATGGTAGGAAATATACTAATTTCAGAAAAATCAGACCCATCCATATACCTGGATATTTTTTGAGGGACATTTAAACACGACAGTTGTGATATGGTAAATTAGGTTTAGAAAAATGTTCTGAGGAGGGGAAGGTGCATGAGGGAGAGGTGACTCTGTGATTCACCTTCCTTTCTTCTTATGTCTTACTAACAAAACAGTTTTGATGAATACTGCATGGGAGGAGAACACAATTTAATGAACATGTGTTACGCACCTTCTATGCACCGGGCACTTAGGCACTGGGGATTCAGAGGTAACTGAGATGAGGACTGTGCCTCTAGAAAGCTTGCCTGTTAGAGAGCAAGACAGGCATGAGAGCCAATAAATACAATTCAGCATGATAGGCGTTACACTAGATGAGGAGAGTGCAAACTCCAGAACACAACGGAGCATGGTCTCACCATTGCAGGTGGAGATTGTGGTTTCCCTTCAGGAGGCAGCAGAATCACAGGCACATGGCAGAATCGATGATGGACAGTGGTGTTTACTGAATATCCATTCAACTCTGTGATCAAGGACTATTTAAATGTAATATTCATATTTTAAAACTTGTAATAGTAATTTTATAGATTACACGTTACTTTCAAACATATATTTAACTTTTCCAGACATGGACTTCTTTCTGTGGATGGTAAAGGGAATATTATAAATCTGTGGAGGAAAGGCTGAATTACTCAAGATATGGTGGGTGTTGGATCAAAGAGAGAAAGATTCCTTCTCCTTATCTTACTGAATTTCAGGTAGATGGATAAAGTCCTTGGTGTGTAAACAAACAAAATATTAAAATCATTAAAATAAAATAAGACCATTGTTATGTATGTCCTAAACAAAAGCAGCCTTTAAGACATAAAAATGGAAAACTATTAAAAGAAGACATTGACAGATTTGAGTTTATAAAAATTTAAAATTTTTACCTAACAACAACTGTTTACTTAGAAGTTAAATGCTAAGTGACAAATGAGGAAGTAGCAGGCTGATATTCAGAATTTGTAAGAACTCTTATTACCTACTAGGAGCCCAGTGTGTGATTCCAAATTGCATGGCACCACCCACCCTGCCCACCCTGCCCACTCTCGAGTCGCTGGTCCTGCCCTGCCTTGCTCCCCAGACCCCACAGCAGCCATGGCGCTGCTGGTCTGTCCCTGCCTTCCTCTCTCGCCCTTGAAGCAGCCGAGGCCATTGCTGATCAGACCTTCCCCCAGTGTAGGCGCTCGGAGGCCCCTGCCACCTCACCCCCTATGCTGCACATGCAACCTCCTACTGTCAGGTTAACCTGTTATGGTGTTCCCATTAATTAGCATATTTCTCTATTATAATATATATAGATAAGAAAAAGATAAAACCACCAGTAGGAAATGATGCAAATCATATTAAAAAACACCCCTCTGAAAAGGAAATTAAAAGGCCCAATAATAAAAATGAGAAGATGTTCAATCTTACTACAGGTCAGAGACATGAAAATTAAAACAATAAGTTACTTATCAGATTAACTGTTGGTGAAATTGTAGGGATATTGGTACATTTATGTGATATTGATGGGAGTGCAAAGTAGCATAGATATTTTCGGAGGCAATTAATAGAGATTCACTAACCTAAAACTGCATAGACCCTGTTAACCAGGAGTTCCATGTTGTAATAAAAGAAACTCTCATATAGGTTCAGAAGGGGACATTTTTATTTTCTAGGTTGTATTATTTGTAAATAATCGAAATTGGAAAGAACCTATATGTGCATCAATAATGTAACTGAAATGTGTTCATATAATGGAGCAATGAATGGGAATGAATTTTAACTGTTTATCAATGTGGATACATCTTAAAATTATATTATTGAGTGAAAAAAATAATTTGCGGAATAACACCTACACGTTGATACTATCTCTGGGAAAAATACATAAAATGATACCTTGTATTTTGTTAACATGAAAAAATATTAGTATTTACTTATTTAAAATGTTTATATCTTTAATTACCACATTTAATCCTTATAGAGTAAACAATAACTGTACAGATCACCCTTTTATATTTTAAAAATATATTTTTATTGATTTCAGAGAGAGGAAGGGCGATGGAGAGAGAGAGAGAAACATCAATCATGAGAGAGAATCACCCATTGGCTGCATCCTGTACCCCCCTTTATGGGGATCAAGCCTGCAATCTAGACATGTGCTCCTGATTCATAGGTTTGACGCCCAACCACTGAGCTATGCTGGCCATGTACAAAAAATTGGTCTACTTTTAGACTTACAAAGAAGTTGCAGGGGGTTTCCAAATATTCCACCCCCGTTCTCCCACCTCTCCCACTGTTAACATCTTCAATAGCCCAGTGCAGTGATCAGAAAAGGATATTAACATTAATACAATAGTATTATCCAAACCAAACACTTTATTTGATTGTCACCATTTTTTTTCACTCACGTCCTTTCTTGTTGTTCCAGGATTTCAGTCAGGATCCTACATTGTATACAGTTGTTATTTCACCCTGGACACCTGGCCTACCATTCTCCCTCAGTCTTGCTTTGTCTTTTATGATGTTGGCATCCCCAATGAGTATTGCTCAGTTATTTTGCTAAATGCCCCTCAGTTTGGCCTGTTGATGTCTTCTCACATTTGGATTGAGGTCCCTCCTCCCTGAGCAGAGCACAACAGATTGGTGCTGGCATCCTATTATGATGTTCACAGGTTTTATCACTGGTCAGATTAACCTCATCACCTGGTCAGGGTGGTCTCAGGAATGTTCCACTATAAAAATACTATTGTACTTTTGATCCCAAATATTTTAGGGAAAACAGTTGAATCTACTCAAATCTCTTTTCTTTCATGCCTTTGCCACTGATTCTATGAAAGGCAAATTTAGCTCAACTTATAATGTTCTGATATTTTTAAACTGTAGGACTTATATTACTTGGGTTAATAAATATAAAGCATATATATATTTACTGGCAGTGACTATGCCCCAAATGTTAATAGAATAAAGATGAGTAATATTTTCCTCTGTGAATTTTTAGTTTTCAAAGCTCACTCTATAAACATAAGTCAGGTGTCTATAGACAAAGGTCAACACTTAAGAGTAAAGAGTGCCTTTGTATTTCTCTTTTTAAAAACTACATTGTAGTGAATTTTAAAATATATTCTCTATTATAGAAAAGAAGTTTTTAAACCTTCCCACAAATAGTCTGTCAGAAGGTCACTCTAACAGGACAGGGTGCTATAGCCGGTGAGAAGGCCTCGCTGTATATGTGCACAGGGCTGGGCCTTAGTTTGGTGGCACAAAGTGTTTATAGTTTTAAAGACCTTTCTAAAGAAAAAGCATACAAATTATGAATCCAGAATTAGCTGGGCCCTTCCTAAAACTTAAAGGGATTCTGAAATGTAAGCTTCCCTGTCAGGCTGACACTCTATCCACTGAACCCAACCGGCTAGGGCTCAATCATGCCCTTTTGATTTCACTGTAGTGCTACAAGGTTTGTTGTATCTCCTTGAGAAGATGTAACCTCCGAGCCTGTTGACGAAGGGATAAGCTGTGATACATGATATACATTCTGATTTCTGCAGCTGCATGCTTAATACTTATCCCCATCATTTTCCTTAGGTCTCTACCCGCCAAGAGCCAAACTGGTCATTCAGAGGCATCTCTCATCCCTGACAGATAATGAGCAAGCTGACATCTTTGAACGAGTCCAGGTAACCTTACTTAAAATCCTCACAAATAAGATATAAGGAATGAGAATTGGATCCTGTTTTTCTAAGTTCATTTTCTTATTTGCGTATCTGAAGTTAAACATTGTACCATTGGGTAGTAACTAGAATGCCACTAGTACTTGTGCTTCTAAGAGCAGCGAAATGCTGAGCTTTATTTAGGTTTGTATACGAGACAGATAAAACCGAGTGGGAATAAAATTAAATGAGAGAAGCCGTGTTGCCACAGTGTGCTCTTGGTTTGTCTGTTCAACAGAAAATGAAGCCAGTCAGTGACCAGGAGGAAAATGAACTTGTGATTTTGCACCTGAGGCAGCTGTGTGAAGCCAAGCAGAAGACACACATTCACATCGGAGAAGGCCCATCGGTGAGGAGAGGTTCTTCCTTGACCTTGTTTTGTTTCTCTGTGCAGTCAGATTACCACAGAAAGTGGGAAGGGGTTTCCTTCCTTTGCGTTCTACCTTTAGGGCTCCACTCCTATCAGATTGATTTGTCAGAATTTTAGGAGTTTCTTAGGAAATTCAAATGGGCATTGGCACCTTGAGATAAATAAATAATAATGGTTTTACAATGTGAAAACATTTGTGGGTTTTTTTTTTGGTATAAAGTAATTTAATAACATTTCACGATTTAGGCTGAACAGGAATTTTCAGTTACATTAATCTATTATTTTATTTTTAATTTATGGGAACATGTTGGGGAAGTAACTTTCCTCCACCCTTCTAGGCTTTTTTTTTTCTGCTCTAATAATCAAGTAGCAAATGAATACGAGAAAATAACCCAATTTAATTACTCACTTGTGTACGGGAACCCTACATACTTGAGAGTCAGGAATCCCATATACAAGAGAGGTTGCATTTCAGAGACAGAAAGGGAAAGGAGGACTATGTGACATTCTGAGGGAAGGGTGCCTTGGGCTTCTGAAGGGAGGAAAGTCATTGTAAGATGATAAGAAGAGCAGATGTTCAGTAATTAGAAGTTTGCCCTGCCCTATAGATAGGTCATAAATTATTTCTTTTAAAAATATTTTTATGGATTTCAGAAAAAGGAGAGAGATAGAAACATCACCGATGAGAGAGAATCATTCATCAGCTGCCTCTTGCATGCCCCCCCAACTAGGGATTGAGTCTGCAACCCAGGCTTGTGCCTTGGCCGGGAATCCTGGTTCACAGGCCTACACTCAACCACTGAGCCACACCAGCCAGGCAGTCATAAGTTATTTCTGGTGATAACTTCTATTGTGGACAAGGCCCCTAATTTAAATTCTTTATGGGAGAGGCAAGTTTCTTGTCAGTCCACAAGGTCTTGATTATTAAGTAGCAAGCACCCAAAGAAGCAGTAATTTCATGGAGACAGCTATTCTGGCTCAAACTAATGAATGCTCTTTTTGTGCACATGGTTTAGAATGTGTTTCCAGTTGCATATAAATAAAGCAAGACCACCACCAACAGCATATAGAGAGCTGATGACATATTTACTTCTTAATAACACTAATTCAGGTTACGTCTTTATTCAGAACAAATCACATACCACTTTTTTCCCTTTATTGATTAAGGTATTACTTACGTGTCCTTATTCCTCCCTTGTTGCCGCTCCCTTCCTTCCCCACCTATGCCCTCCTGGTGTCTCTGTCCATTGGTTATGCTTATTATATGCATGCATACAAGTCCTTGGATCTCTTCCCTTTACCCCCACCCTTCCCTTCCCTACCTTCCTTCTGAGGTTTGACAGTCTGATCAATGTGATACAAATCACATATCATTTTATTAGTTATTCCTTAACTTATTCCTTGAACAGACTCTTCCAGAGAACCATCTATGAGCCAACCTGTGTGATAATGGTGAACAAAACTTTGAAGAATAAATGATGCTTCCTCCAGAGAAGGGCTCAGATATTCCAAAAGGGTTACAAACAGTTAGATGGAAACCCATAATAGAGGCAACAAAGTAGCTATATATATATATATATATATATATATATATATATATATATATAATTGACTTTTTACAGAGAGGAAGGGAGATGGATAGAGAGTCAGAAACATCGATGAGAGAGAAACACCAATCAGCTGCCTCCTGCACACTCCCCACTGGGTATGTGCCCACAACCAAGGTACATGCCTCTGACTGGAATCAAACCTGGGACCCTTGAGTTCACAGGCCGACACTCTATCCACTGAGCCAAACCAGCCAGGGCCAAAGTAGCTTTTTAAAAGGATGTGCAGTGAGCACAAAAGTAGCTATGTCTTTGCTTTGGAGCTGGAGTAGAGAGTAGGGTAGAGGGAAGAATGAAAGAATTCAAGAGGAATATTTTTTTGTGGGGTGAGGGGAAGCTGGATTTTAAGGGAGATAAAGTTTGCTAATCAGAGGAGTTGAGGAAGTATGTTTGAAGAAAGGGACATTGAGCACAAAGTTGTGTAGTAACTCTGTGATCAGGAGTGAACACGTGGTCCATGCAGGCCCTGGAAGCACACACTGGTTTTTTAGGGGGAGCTCGGAGGTTGATGAAGAAATAAGGCTGGAAGGACAGGCAATGGTGAGATGATGAAGAGGTTTCAATGCTATGCCTTGGTCATTGAAGGATTTCAAGTAAGATGTGAGAAGACCAGATTTGTACTTGAAATAGAAAATTTTATTATCAGAGTAACAGTCAATTTGTGGAGCAGGTTGGTGGGTGAGGGTGTTGGCAGCATTAGGAATAAAGTCTCAAGTTCAGAGAATTTTACAATGGAATATTTGATAAGTGATTCATTTAATTTTTGCAGAAACTTTTATAATGTGCATACTGTTACTAGGCAGTGGTGATGAATAATGACGGCTCTTTTCTGCCATCTAACTATTTCAGAGGAGAAACCAACATGTACTCAAATAAATTAAAATATGGATATAAGGAGTGACTAGTACGATATAAGTATACCCAGGCAGAGATAGCATGGGTACACAAATAGATTGAATGGTTCTGTCTTGAAAATTTTGTTTGGGTGATAGCCAAACTAGGACACTGGAGAGGAACTGAGTCCAGGGTTATGGGAGGCATGATCATCAGGATTTAGTGTCTGACTGGATAGATATGTGAAGGAAGGGAGAGACTTCAGGGTTTCAGATTTGGGGGTGGGGGGCGGGGACTGGATAAAACAGAGATAGAAAATACAGAAGGAAGATGAGAGTGGGGTATGGGATGGAAATGAAAAGTAAGACTTTAAGAAATGTTGCTTGGGATTTAATTAGAAAAATGGACTAATTTAAAAAAAAACATGGAGGCATTTGAGTTGGACGTGTAAATATGGAGAAAATGAGCTTTGCCAGAGATTGAAGTCAGAGGGGGATGTGCTGAGGACACCCACATTTCAGGCAATGAGTGGATTAACTTTGAGCCAGTGAACAAGACTGAAAGGGAATAATGGCTTATAAAAGGGGCTTACCGTATTTTCCGGCGTATAAGACGACTCCCTAATTTTTACAGTTAAAACATAGGTTTAGGCCTATATTCGCTGTATAAGACTACCCCCCACTTCTGAGGCAACACCAGTTCTTTTTTTAATAGACTGCCTCTCTAACTCAGCCAATCCAAGCAGGCTTTTTATGCTTGCAAATTATACATGTTCTGTACCCGAAGCTACACTGTGTTCTAGTAAAAAGCCTGCTCAGATTGGCCAGAGTCAGAGAAGCGGTCTGTTATAAAAAGAACTGGTGTTGCCTCGGTAGTGGGGGATAGTCTTGTACAGCGAATATAGGCCTAAACCTATGTTTTAACTGTAAAATTAGGGGGTCGTCTTATACGCCGGAAAATACAGTAGAAAGGTTTATTATGGTTGGTGACCAAGGTAGGAGAAGAGCTGAAATACAATCGGCAATGGCCAGTGATATAATAGGAAGGTCAAGCGACATAAAGACTAAAATCTTTTTTTTTCCCCCAGAAGGTGTTGAGATGTTGTTTATTTAGCTATGTTTCCCATAGCCATTTATCTCCTCTAGCCCTCTTCCATCTCCACCCACTCCCACCCCTGCAATCACCACCCTGTTGTCCATGTCAGTGAGTTCTGTCTCTCTTCTTTCTTTTTTGCTTAATCCTCCCCAACACCCTCCCTCCCCGCCACTGAGAGCTGTCTGCCTGCTCTCTATCTATGAGTCTGTAGACTAAAATCTACTAATGCGTTTGCTTATATCAGTTATTGGTGGTGATAGTGATGTTGACCAGAAGGTCAAAAACAGTAGGTGAGTAGTTGCTAGTATGTGCATTGTTTTTTTGTGTGATGGAGGACACTATAAAGAGAAGATTTTTTTTTTTTTAACAAATTGTAGTTCCTGCTAATATTTCTTCCCTTTCTGTTTCTCTTTCCCTACCTTCTTCCCTTCCACTCTCTCTAAGAAATCAATGGAAAAAATACTCTCAGGTGAGGATTAATAACAACCACAGCAAAAAAGACAATGGAATTATAATAGAGGCCACAGAGGAATCCAGCTTCCCAGAAAATGTATTGTTTTTCAGACATATTTCCTGTACTTTCCTTGGCAATTTGGATACAAATATGCAACTTCAAAAGGGATGGCTATAGCTGATCATCAAAATAACAACAATAAAAACATTTCCAGTGTATTTTTTGTTAAATGCAGATGGAATACATTAGCAGAAAGAAAAGGCATAAAGGAAAGATCTTATTTCTGTCTTTTTATTACTTATGGTATTAAAAAGTAAAGCCCTTTCCTTTAATCTGTCTGTTCACAGTGTGGAACCTAAATTATTACTTCTTGATAGAGCTGCAGAAGAATTCTTGTGCTTTTCAATGGTGTCTCGAAAGCCTCTATTAACCTTAAGTATTGCCAACTAAAATTTATTTGTCTTTCTTTCTGTAGACTTTTTCAAATAGTACAATCCCGGAAAATGCAACAAGCAGTGGAAGGTTCAAACTTGACATTTTGAAAAATAAAGCTAAGAGGTCTTTAACTAGCTCCCTGGAGAATATCTTTTCAAGGGTAAGTCCACTAAGATCCTTTTAATATTTGTGTTCTTTAACTGCTTTGCTTCATTCTCAACTGATTCACAGAAAAGTTTTTTTTAAAGACACCAACAAAAACTACCACAATAATTGTAATCTTGTTAACACTTTTTAAAAATAATCTCTCGGACTAAATTTCATTCTCAGATATAGGTTTATTCTGGTTATTATAGTATCTGAATTTTAGTAATGGAGATTTATTAGTTAAGATATATACGTATAGAAAAGAGAAAATAGAATATTAACACCCAATATTAAAGCATCTTTTAATCACGTGCCACATAAAGTTATAAAGAAATCCTTCTTCTGCTCATTTTTGGAGCTGATAGGAAACGCTGAAAATATTGATAAAAGTGAACAGAAATTTATATGTATTCCTTTTAGTAAATTTGGAAGGGAGAACATCATCTATTTAAAAATAAGCAAAGTGATTCCTATTCCCCTTCATTTTCTTCTTCCTGAACAATTCAGTCCTAATGCTGTTAGTGAGATCAAGCAAGGCAGGTGTCTTGGGGCTGAGGACAGGGGAACCGCAGTGGCTCCATGCAGGGAGACAGTGCCCAGTGGGTGCTGTATGTGGGGTGGCCCAAGGCAGTACGTGGGAACCAGAGTGTGGTGAGGAGGGTGTCAGCTTAGGAAGTTGCAGCCTGAGTCGATGAGGCCCAGTGCAGGGTGTCAGAGCCAGAATAGAGGGAAGAAAACACTCCTGGTGCCCAATACAAGGAATTAGAGCCTGTGAAGGGTGGGGATGATGACCATGCCTCGGGGTGGCAGTCAGAGCATGGGTGTTGGGACCTGAGTAGAATGGGGTGAGTGTCTGTGAGGTGACAGTTGTGGAGACCAACTACACAGAGGGGACTGACCAAAGATATAATGTATTAAGATAGTGGGATGTTGGGAGAAAGGAATTATAAATATGCAAAGGGAGGAAATTATAATGAATCCTGTGTTGTTGCATTCAACTCAGAAGTAACAGCGTGGAATCTTGGTTATCTATCTATCTACCTACCTATCTATCTATCTATGAATCATCTGTCTATCATCTATCTATATTTTTGAGGAACAGAATTTTACATATTATACATATAATACATGTATTGACATGTGTGTGAAAATGTGTACATATAGTCTCTGGCCCTTCCACTGATAGGAGTGGGGACTAGCTTTTCTACAAATAATATCAGATAATGAATTAAGTCTTGCCGAGTGACAACTAATACCCAGACTTGGGTTTCTATATATCATTCTACAAGAGATAACCATGATCCTGGGAGAAATGGATAGTTCTAGGAATGTAGGGAAAGTACAAGATAAGGCTAGAGTATGTTGGTAATCTAGTTGGTAAGGAAGTGCTCAAAGAAAGACCTTGCTATATCATAAAGACATAGAAACCATGAAGGGCTCCCACTGGTGACACCTGAGACAATATGAGCATGAAAATGAATGATGGCAACCGATGAATCTGTTGCATAACATAGAAATATAAGTCTATTCTGACATGAAAAAGAAATGAATACATTGAGAGTTTGAACAGAATTTAATTAATTCTGTTTACAAAGAGGAAAATAGTAAGTTTAAAATGGAGTGATGAAGTTGAACATCATTAGCAGTGGGACGTGTGATACAAAGAATACTTCGATGGTATTTCTGCTAAAGGGGCAGAACCTGAACCTGATCATGAAGAAATGTCAACAAACTCAAGTTATTCTTTACTAGAGGCCCAATGCACAGATTTGTGTACCAATGGGGTCCATTTGCCTGGCCTGCAGGGATTGGGCCAAAACCTGCTATCTGACATCCCCCACGAGGTCCTAGATTTGGAGAAGGCACAGGCCAGGCCAAGGGACCCCACTGGTGTACGATCAGGGCAGGGGAATGACCATGGGAGGTTGGCTGGCTGGGGAGGGGCCGCAGGAGGGCTCTAGGGCATGTCTGGCCCACTCGCCCAGTCCCAGAAGCTAACCTACTGGTCCAAGCATCTGCCCCCTGGTGTTCAGTGCATATCAAAGGTCAAACGATTGAACAAACAATCAGACACTTAGCATATTAGGCTTTTATTATCCTATCTAATAAAAGAGTAACATGCAAATTAACCACCATTCCTCTACAACCACAAGTCACGCCCACCAGCCAATAAGAATGCAAATTAACCCAACCAAGATGGCTGTGGCCAAAGAGAGAGAAGGAGGCTTGGGTTTCCCTGGCAATGGAGCAGCCTAGCTTTCCACTCCCTGGCAGGCCCAGGCCTTCACTCAAGGCTACAAAGTTTCAATTGTAGAAGATAAATAAATCCCAGATACCGGGACCTCTGCTTGGGTTGCTGGGGGGCATTGCTGGCCTGCAAACTACCACAAGCACTCGCCTAGGCCACCCCTTGCTCCAAAGGAACCCCCACCCTGATTCAGGGCACCCTTCAGGGCAAACCAGCCAGCCTCCACCTGTGCACCAGCCTCTATGCTATCTAATAAAAGAATAATATGCAAATTGACCATCACCCCAACATACAAGATGTTGCCCCATGTGGTCAAAGATGGCTGTCCCCATGTGAACACAAGATGGCCACCACAAGATGGCCAGCAGGGGAGGGCAATTGGGAGGGACCTGGCATGCAGGGGAGGACAGTTAGGGGTGACCAAGCTGGCAGAGGAGGGAAGTTGGAGGCGATCAACCCTGCAGGGAAGGGCAGTTGGGCGGGACTTAGGCTTGCAGGGTAGAGCAGTTGGAGGGGACTAGGCCTACAAGGGAGGGCCGTTAGGGGCAAACAGGCTGGCAGGGGAGCCGTTAGGCATTGATCAGGCTGGCAGGGGAGTGGTTAGGGATGATCAGGCTGGCAGGCAGAAGCGGTTAGGGGCAATCAGGAAGTCAGGCAGGCGAGCAGTTGGGAGCCAGCCGTCCTGGATTGTGAGAAGGATGTCTGACTGCCCATTTAAGCCTGATCTTACTGGGATCAGGCCTAAACGGGTAGTCACATATCCCTCAAAGGGTCCCAGATTGAAGAGGGTGTAGGCTGGGTTGAGGGACACCCCCCCTTCCCATGCACGAATTCTAGGCACTGGGCCTTCAGTATAGTATAATCCACAAGATAATCAGTAGCCAAGAGTGTCAAGGTCAAGAAAGTACAATAGTATTAGGACGTTGTAACATCCGATATATAGTGCTCTTATTTTTTTTAATTTGCTAGAAATCAAAATACGTTGACAAGTATTTTTCTTTATGGTTGAGATTCTTCTAAGTCTATCAAAAGCCCCATAGCAAGCATGCAGCTTTCAGTGCTATTATTTTATCACCTGACACAGAATCTAGAAAACGATTATCTAAGAGATTACTCAAAAGTGTGTTAAATTTTCATAAAATTTTACTACCTTGTTTTCTCCAAAATGTATTAATTATTTATGTTCTTTATTCTCCCTCCATTCCCTCCCTCTATTCCCTCCCTCCCTCCCTCCCTCCCTCCCTCCCTCCCTCCCTCCCTCCCTCCCTCCCTCCCTCCCTCCCTCCCTCCTTCCTTCCTTCCCTCCCTCTCTTTCCTTTGCTTTCCTTCCTTCCCTCTCTCTCCCCTTCTTTTCTTCCTTCCCTCCCTCCCTCTCTCCTTTCCTCCCCCCTCCCTCCCCTCTTTCCTCTGTCTCCCATGGTGTGTTGGTGAGAATTTTAATAGAAAGTCCATTTAGATAGATGGTCAGGGAAGTAAATTCAAGACCTAACCCTAGCAGATTTTATATTTATGATTTTTGGATAAATTACTCACCTTCTCTAAGCTACAGTTTCCCCATTTTCAGAACAGGCATACTATTATCAGCTTACCTCCCATTACCGTGAGGATGAACTGTCAGTATATTAGGAAAGTATCACATTATAGATATGAAGTGGTCCAAACAATGGGAGTTCTGAAACCTTGCTATTTACCAAATGACACAAGGATGTGTAGAGTTTCTCTCTTAACCCAGCTAGTACTTTGGCATTCTGCACAATACCTGCACTGCTGTCTTTGAAGTGCCACTTACGTAGCTTTGAAGGACAGTAATGACACTTTAAACAAGAGCACAGCCAGTCTATTTTGGTCAAGGTGGATACTGTATGTCACAGATGCTGCCAAGTGTCATAAATTTTGTGACCAAACAAGGCCTTGCTTGCACCATGTGCAGCAGGATGGACTTACTGAGAAGGTTGGCAGCCACCCAGGTTGTATCAGAGGTTACATAGAGAGGGGTTTTGTGTACTTATAAAATTTGTTCTTTTCTCTCTTTGAGTAAAAAATAGAAAATTGACACTTCAGTCATAAAGTTCGATTCATAATCACTGTCATTTTTAAATGTGATAATATTTTATTTAACTGACTGTAATTGTTTATGAAATAGGGTACATTTTTAAATAGCTGAGAAGCTCAGATCACTGACAATCAAAAAGTAGGTCCAAGGGAGAAGGCTTGACACATGTATTACCAAATCACAGTATAGTAAAACTGAAACAGCTGTCTGTTCAGAGGTGAAAAGACAGTCTTGTATTCTGATTGTTTGTTTCTTTTTTCTCAAGTTGAAATTTACCAAAAGAGAATATTTCTGAATGTATTTATTAATATACATATTTTAAAGGACTATAAATTGAAGTGTGAGTCATTGGAAAACATTCCTCATTTCATGCTTTCTTCAGAGTATGTCCTTACTTGTTGAAAATGTGCAAATATTAAAACAGCAAATAAGTTTTATTTTTATTTTTTTAAACCTGGGGTTGCAGTTTCCTATCCTTGTCTCAGTTGGGGCATGGAGGCAATCAATAGATGTGTTGATGTTTCACCTTCTACTCTCTGTAAAAAGCAATGGAAAAAATATACTTAGGTGAGGAGTAATTAAAAACAACAACAAAACAACAAAGAATTATCAGGTCTAAACCAAATGCCAGTAATGCCAAGATTAAAAACTCTGATCTCAGGCATTTGGTCAAGAACATGATAGAAATGTACTGTTTCCCCATTTTCCCTCCCTCTCTTTCCTTTGCTTTCCTTCCTTCCCTCCCTCTCCCCTTCTTTTCTTCCTTCCCTCTCTTCCTCCCTTCCTCCTTTCCTTCCCCCTCCCTCCCCTCTTTCCTCTGTCTCCCATGGTGTGTTGCTTGAAAAAAAAAGTATCTTTCAATTCTTCAGGGAGTATTATAATTAAACCTGATGGACATATTTATCAGCTGTCATGTTCTTCATCCTGTTATCTTTTTCTTGGAATATTAAAGAACATTAAAAACAAAAAATAATACTGATAATAGAAGGTAAGCAATGTATGCAATTAGAAGAAGAATAAAGAAACCCTTAGTAAGTCTGATGGAAATAATTAGTGCTTACCTGAAAGTTTATAGTGCTAAATATTCATGTTAGAAAGAAGAAAGGTACAAATTTATTAATCTAAGTTTCAACGTTAAAAAGCTGGAAAAGCCATACAATAAAATATAGCTAAAAAGAAATGAAGTACTGATACATGCCAACACCTCAGTAAGTGGTTTTTTGTTTTGTTTTTTTTGTATACACACATACATATGCATATGCAATACATGGATAAAATACCACTGTGAGTAAAATGTGTGATTTAAGTTGCTATTATAATAAGGCAAATGGTTCAATACCCATCTTACTACTTTTACTATTGTGACCAAATAACCTGTTTAAGATAACCAGACAGGTTGGCATGCAAGCAGCAGCTAAAAAAATTGCAGAAAGTGACCTGGTCTTTATAATATTTACCTCTTGGCCACACACAGTTAGTTATCTAGTCATTTATCATCCGAAAATACAGTTTATTATTGGAAGTATGACATGTTATAGAGCTGAAGAACTGAAACAACCTTGATCAGATTCTAGGCATTTGCACTTAATCAATGAAGGCTAGTTAGTTTTGTTTGTAATTCTACTTTTCACAAAGCTCTACCTTCAGGAAGTGGTGTTGAGTAAGAGCTCAGGAGCTTCACTTTTAAATTGTGCTTCCTGGGTTCAAATTGATGCTTTGTCCTTTAAGTAGTGGTGTATGCTTTGGCAACATAATCATATCAGAGCTTCCGTCTCTTTATCTGTAAAGTTGAGCTAAAAAAACGACACCTCCCTTGCGTAATTTTTGGGAGGAATAAATGAGATAATGCAGTGTAAAATGTTTAATATAGTATATAGCACACGATAAGCATGCATCTCTTAATTTTATTGCTTCTATAATTGTTATTTAGAGAGCCACCAGTAATATAAAACTACACAAGTAATATACATAGATAAGAATAAATATTGCTTCTATGAAACAAGATAGGATACCATAAATATAAAAGTCAATTGAGAACAAGAAAGAACTCTTAAAATTTTCTGATAATAGACATCAAAAGAAAAAGTCAATAAAAGTCTAGGAAGCTAGAGTTAAAAAAAAAAAAATCTTCAAGAAAGTAAAGCAAAATGGTAACAAGATGGAAAATAGGAGAAAAGGGTAAAAAGTCAAAAGATTAGTCTGCAGACCCAATAGCCAAATGGTAGGAGTTCCAGAAAGGGGAAGTGCATGCAGACATTTTCAAAGAAATCATTTCAGAAATTTCCCAGAGCCAATGGACATGTTTCCAGGTTTAATGGACTCAGAATATGTACAATAGAATGACTGAATAAAGCCATGCCAAGGTTCAGGGTTGTGAAATCTCAGAACGCCCAAGGGTAAACTTGGAATCAATTCCAGAGAGAGAGAGAGCTGGCCATACAAAGGCTCGATCACAATGGCATCAGACTTCCGTGCCAGAAGACACTTGAGTAATGCTCGCATTATGAAGGAACGTTTGTAACCAAAGTTATATATTCAGCCAACTGTTAGTGAAATATAACATAGAATAATGACATTACAGAAGTGTAAGTTAAAAAAAAAAAGAATATTTCCCAGTCTCCCTTTTGTCAGAAAGCACTTGGAATATGTGCTCCATCAAAATGCAGAAGTAAACGGAGAAAGAGGAAGACCTGGGATCAAGGAAACAAAAATTCCAACAGAGGGTAGCATTAAAAGATATTTCTAGGTTAATAGTGAAGGAAAATACTGGGCAGATTGTTTAGTAAGCCTATATTTGCAGCCAGTCCAGACTGGGGCAGGAGACAGAGGCCTTCATAATGGGTAGCTCAAATGAAAAGAAAAAAAATGTAATTGATAGATTATGGGTTGTTTGACTATACTGAGATTTGTTGGTGGTTTTTGTAATACATTAGTGATCACCAACTCTTTGAAAAACAGATTGCACAAGTTATAAATTGTAGTAATAATCAAATATTTACAAAGTCATAATAATCTAATCACAAATTATTGTTTTAACTGAAACCTGTGATATAGCTATTGAGAGAAGAGGGAAAGAGAATGTGTGTGTAGGATTGGGTAATGAAGTAAGAATACTCAAATCTCATCTTCTGAAGTAGGAAGTGAATAAATAGTGCCTAAAGCAGAAAGATTAGCAATAGTAATATAAGCTGAGTACCAGAAGCAAGTATTTGAATGCACTTTCAAGTATTTGCTTTTGGAGAATGGGATTTAGTGTGTGAGAGAGGGGATGGGGTGGTGACTGTCGCTTTTCATTTTGAGCTTGGTAGCACAATTTGGCAGATATTAATTTGATTAAAAATTAAAATATAATTTAACACTCTTCCCTCCAAAAATTAAACCCAGGAAAGTATGGCCACAAAACATTAAAACTATAAACTGCTGTACTAACATCATGAGTTTTTTTATTTTGCAGAATTTGTCACATGGTTATTTCTAGTTCTTCTTTTTAGAGCTTTTTTGTGGGTTTAGAATTACATAGAATGCCTCAGTCTGTGGTGTGTCTCTTAAGAACTTCTGTAGGATGTGGTGCCCAGACGGCCCTTCCATCTTCTTTCCTTCAAAAGTTGGCTTCAGTTTCTTCCTATCTGAAGTGAGGGAAATGCAGGGTGGAGCAAAAGTAGGTTTCCAGTTGTTTGTATGGCAAGTAATACAATGATCAATAAGTAATAATACAAGAATAAACTCCCATACTCACAACTGTAAACCTACTTTTGCCTCACCCTGTATATAAGATGATTTTTTAGGTTCCTCTTTCTTAGACTATCTATGAGCTCTATACCAAAGGTGTGTGGGAAAGAAAAATAAGATCCAATAGTCACCAATATTGAAGCGAACTGTTATTTAGTCTTTTTCAGAGAGTAATGCTTCATTGAAGTTGTTTTGGATTATGGAATAATGAATGAAACTTAAAACCACACATTTTAGGATGCAGTTTTCTCTTCTTAACCTGTGTCTGTTATAATCCTGCAATGTGAATTTATGATGTTTGCGATCTTGGTCGTAGGAAGGTTGTGTGTATTAAACCATGTGGTGGTTCGCTGTGCTGTACCTTCCAATTTGTGTTTATCTACATGACACATAAAGTTAAAGGGACTCTCTCACACTGATCGTGGGGATGAACAATGTTTAACCTTGTAACCAAAATAACTCCAAAAATCTTGGTCTGATATCTAGTCATCTAACGACTGAGTGAAGAATACTGGAAATATTATAGATGGTGAATAGTTCTATTTTACCGTGCTGGAATGGCTGTTAATACTGCCAAGAAAACTGAGTGAACCACAAAAGGGATAATTTGATGCTAACATAAAGAGCCAACTTGGTTTTTATAGTAGCTTTAAAGTAAAAATTCAGACCATCTGAATGCTTTAACTTTATTCTCTTCACTTAGGGAGCTAACAGGATGAGAGGGCGGCTTGGAAGTATGGACAGCTTTGAACGGGCAAACAGTCTTGCTTCAGAGAAGGTAGGCACGCAGACCTCTCCCCCTATTATTATTATTATTTTTTTAACTACTAACTGGGACTTGGCACAAACCAACACTGATATGGTAATTTGTGTGCTTAGTTATTTTGTTCGGAATCATTTATGATTTAAGAAAATGTATTTGAGGCTTTATTATTTTAAATAAGAAGATTCTGGATATGAGCATGTTGCTCTTTATTTAGCTGGAGCTTTCTCATGTTGAGACAGAACGTACCCCTTGCAGACTAACTCTGCTCTGTCAGGCTGCTTACTATGCGGAGCTAGTATGGAGGACAGTATTTGAGCAACCATTGCTTGCCCCAAAGCCATAGAACAGTGGTCGGCAAACCCGTTAGTCACCAGACCAAATATCAACAGTACAATGATTGAAATCCTTTTGAGAGCCACATTTTTTAAACTTAAACTTTTTCTAACCCTACTTCTTCAAAAGAGACTCGCCCAGGTCATGGTATTTTGTAGAAGAGCCACACTCACAGGGCCAAACAGCCACATGTGGCTTGTGAGATGCAGTTTGCTGACCATGGCCATAGAAGAATGAGCCATGGAATTACTGCCCTTGAGCAGTGCTCTTTTTATCGTTTGTTTTCTCTCCATGTTACCCCTAATGCTCCCCCTCCCCTATTTTTAACTATTTTAACTGCAACATTATGCTCTTTATCTCATAGACAATTCTCAGTAGGGTTGGTTTCCTGTTTCCTGTATCATGCAACATGTAACCTGAGGCATATGCAACCTGTTTACTAATGGAAAAAGATTAAAATATTTTTTATTAAACTTTCTGTTGATAACATTGAGGACTTAGTTCAGCTGTGAGTCTTTTAGCCCTAACTCATGTTTATTAAGCTAAGCATTTCTACAATGGGGATTGTGCTGGAGAGTATAAACAGCATACCTGTCTAAATTGAAAGATTTATGAAGTCTCCACATGCAATATGAGATGCATTCCAGCATAACTCACTTCTCATTCATTTCCTGTTTTTCGTGTCTTTTAAAAAAATGTACTATCAGGGGACGTGTAGTTGGATAGAAACATTCATGGTGAAGGAAGATACTTAACAGGCTCTATTTTACTTCCCTGAAGGCTTTGCCACCAGACTTGGACACTTACACGCTGTGTGATATTGTTTTGAGAGTACAGGAAGCGTGCAACTGATATGTCACGGAAATCAGTAGATACGTAAACGCAGACTCCACCCCCCTTTTTTTTTGTCATGATCTCTTTTCATCTTTCTGGCAACAATGAGAAATGCTACAGCATTTTACCACAAAGCATTAGGGGAAAAGGACACCTTTTCTTATCATCCCTTTCACTTTCTGGCCTATCTCTACTGATGCTGCTATCAGAAGAAATGGGTTGTGGTGATGCTGATTAGCCTTCAGCATGGATGGGATGAACAAAACACAAAGAACCCACCAGCTCTGTGTGGGCTCAGGAGGACGAAGAGGCTCCCTGTCCTTTCTGAGCTCCGTGTTGACAGGTCTGCCATGATCTCTGTGGGAAAGAAAGATCTCACTTCTGCTTGCTTCTCAGGACTACTCACCGGGAGACTCTCCTCCAGGGACCCCTCCAGCCTCCCCGCAGTTCCCTGAAGAGGATTCTGACTCCCCACAGTTTCGAAGACGGGCACACACCTTCAGCCACCCGCCTTCCATTACAAAGAGGAAGCTGAATTTGCAGGATGGGAGGGCTCACGGGGTGCGCTCCCCTCTCCTGAGGCAGAGCTCCAGCGAGCAGTGCAGGTGAGTCCAGAGTCTCTCTGCCGTGGGAAGTAAAGGTCTTCTCCCAGCCTGTTTTGGTCAGGGTGGAGTCAAGATTTGTTGTGACTTCGTGCTGTAGCCTACCTTTAGTTTTTTAGAAAGACTATCAAAGTAAGTTGAATGATAAAAAACAACAACACCTTAGTTACTAGGGGAAACAAGGCAAGATGGAAGGCATACCCAGAGAGCTGAGTTAAAGCATTTTGAATGGAAACTTTTTTTTTTCCAGAAAAATAGAGGAAGCAAGATATTATACACGTGGTTTCGCCTGAATAACGTGCTGACAGGACATGTTATCAGTGTCTTCTTGATCACTTAATGAAACAAAGTCAGCAAATTCATGAAATAACAAAGCAGCAGAACTTCCCGAGGCCTACAGTGAAGTACAAGGGTTAAAAAAAATCCCCTAAATTACCCTCATGCATGAAACAAAAATCAACTATATTTTATTTCATAATAAATTAAAACCAAATCAGAAAATTGTTAACAATGTTACCTGGAATAACGTGATATCTATAAAGAATACACACAGCCTAATTGACAGGAAGTACTTTACATGGTTATTTAAAAATATAACTCACCCAAATTGTTGGCATTTGATCTGAAATAATAACGGGGGTAAACCTGGAGTAGTAGAATTTTTATATGTCTTACTGTGTAATACAAATCAGAATTAATATTCTAGAACTAATTTTCTTATTCTTTCCCTGTGAGTTTGATATTGGAAACAGGGTCTGGTAGAGATTCAAGATGAAGAAAATAAAAACAAAAACCAGAACACTAAGTGAAAAGAGGCTAAATTTTACGTTGTTATCAAGATTTTTTTTTATGATCACTTTATATTTTCAGGAAAAATTTGTTAAGAATCTAAAATATTATTTTAAACTAGAAACGATATCTATTCTTCCTTATGCTTTTTACATTTGATATTGTATAAGGTCAAATAATTTCTATCAAGATGCTCTTTGTATTGTTGTCAAAACATGGTGGGAAAAGAATCTCCTAAATATAAAAAGGCCTATGCTGGCGATTTGGGGCTTCACATAAAACCACGGCTGTATGAAAAAGTATGGACATAAATGTTTGTTAGGCCAAAGATACGGTGACCCCAGCAGCCAAACATGTTGTCCTTAAATTGTTAGAAGAGTTTATATCTTTAAAATAGTGAAGTCTTTGAACTACTGATAATCATTTTTTTCCTTCTGGAACTTGTTTCCTGTAATTTTTTTGTGCTTTCCTATTTTTTCCTCTTAAAGTATCTTTTGCATGTAAAAACAAACACGGTTTGTCCTAAAATTGTTAAGAAACTGTTAGAGACAAACACAGGAGGAATTCATTTTGTGAAAGGGTGAAACAAGGTCATACTTTTATTTATTTATTTATTTATTTATTTATTTTTCCTCTGCATGTAAATATTTTATTAAAAAAACATGTTGTTACATCATTCTTTTAAATGTAAACAAGGAAATCTAAATTCATAATGATTTGAAATTTACTATCATCTATTTAATTCACCATCATCTACAAATATGAATTCTTTAACAGATGAAAAATTTCCATCATTTTAAATAGAGAGAACTGCATGCTCCCCTTCTTCATCCCCCTTCTCCCCAGCCCCGAGCCTTTAAAGGTTAGATTTCATGAATAACAAGAACTTGTTTATATACGTTTTCATAGTGAATGAAGGTTTTGCCAAATTATAAATTAAGACCAATCTGCTGTGTTTTCTGTACTCAGCATTCTTCCATCTGCTCGGCGCATGCACAAGAGTAACTCTTCCTCCAGCCTTCCAAGTCTGCACACTTCCTTCTCTGCCCCTTCCTTCACTGCCCCCTCTTTCCTGAAAGGCTTTTACCAGAATTCAGGTAGACTGTCCCCACAGTATGAAAATGAAATCAGGTGAGATCAGTGTCCTCTGTTTGCAAAGCAACATTTTCCACGGTGTGATATACTGATGTGTTAACTAAAGAGTGGCTAATGTTGGAATGACTTTCATGCATCTTTACCTTGTGCTTGTTCTAATCTACTTCTAACATATTGGTTTTCATTCCACTTAGTTTTATTAAGAAAACTTTTATAGCCAGCGTTTTGAAACTTTTAAAACCAGCTTTTTGGGTACATGGTAATTTTTAAAAATTATTATTATCTTTGTACTATTAGTATGAGTCTTTGCCTTGGTGAATCCAAAAGCCACTGATTTAAATAATTGTACTGAAGTGATGGATATGATATATCGATATTTTTACTTTTAAGTATATAGGATATTTCCTAGTCATTTCTTTGATTTTTCAATGACAAGGACTCACTTCTCTGAATCTCAGTGTAAGTCACATAATGGGTACAGTATCCTGTTGACAGCAACACTCTCATGAGAGATCTCTTGAATTTTGTAGACATTTGAGTTTGTTTGGTTACCAATATGGAAAATGAATAGCCTTTAAGTTTTGTTCTTTGCTCTACACAAAATTAGATATAGTGATTTTGGAAAACTGCCTTAAAAAATTGAAATTATGAACTCTTACTGATCATTCATATTCTCAGTGGGGTGTTCGTCCCTTTGAGAAGAGGTGGTTAAGTTGGGAAGTCTTCTAAGGGGATCGCTGTTGGCTTAGAAGTTTATGAGACTGATTCATTCCTGTTTTTGTGCATGGCTTGGTGCAGTTATTTGTAGTGCTGTGTAGTATTCCATTTACTACATCACAACTTATCCATTCTTTTGATGGGACATTTGAGTTGTTTTTGAGCAATTCTTGCACTCCAGGAGAGGAATACATGCAATCAGTAAGCCTGGGTACCGCTAAAATCTTCTGTATGCTTTTGGCTTTCTTTTTTTTTAGATTTAGGAAATCCCCAAAGTTAATATACATATCCTCAGTAATTAGTTAAATTAGACTCTTCCTTAATTTATCTGAGTATCTTTCATCTATGTGTGCCAATATTTCCCACTCCAACAAAGATTACTAATATTGGATTAATGTAGTTTTGAATCTGAACTTTTCTCTGAATTAGTACATGTTTAAGCATTGAATTTCTAGTGAATCAATTGATAAAGAATTAATCTTAAAAGGCTTTTTTTAAAAAACCTTAGGGGAGGAATTTTAAAGGAAATTTGCCATAAAATATAGTAAAATGTATATGTAGAATATGCAATGAATTTAGAGAACCAAGAATGGGCACGCATAAAAATATCAGTTTGCCTTATCTCTATGGTACCACCTACTAATAAGAATACAGCACTTTCAGTGAACTCTATTTGCAGTTTTTTATTGTTATGTTAGTTAAAGTAAGCATTTGGGGAATCACAGTTTCCTTCCAGAAACAAAAACTGGCCTGAAAGTGACAATGAGGCTAGCCATTAAGAAGGTCAAAGGTTAGCTGTGAATAGGATGTAGAGTACAAAATCAGTAACTTTTAAAAGATTATTTATAGAGGTTAATATAAGGTTATATGTTCATCATGAGTAGTTTCTGTTTAGATGTGTGTACAGGTGTCCTCCCAAAATGCATACACACTTTAACAGCTGATAGCTTAATTTTGAAAATGAAATGTATTTTAATAAACACTGCTTTTGTAATTATTCAAAGTCTGTATATACATTTTTTGGACACTTTATATTATTTTTTCTCATAACTTCCTTTAGCTTTCTAATGTCATTTTAGTAGAAGGATATTGAAGTCCAATAGGCAACTAAATGTTCATTTTGCATTGAAAAAAGTCACCTTTTTGCTGCTCTCTTATTTGAAGTGCTCATATCTGAAGTGAACCTAAAAAGCAGAGGATCTTTTTCATTAAAGTATTTTTACTGGTATTAAAATATTATATAACCATACAGCTCACCAGAGTGAACATTCCATGTAACCACCACCTGGTCACTGTAGCTCCTCTCATTTTCCCATCTAACCAGCACGCCTATCCTGACCTCCAATACCATAGCTTAGTTTTGACTGGTTTTGAACTTTATTTAAATAGAACAATACAGTATACATTCTTTTATATTTGGCTTCTTTCATGAACGTCAGTTTGTGACATTTATTCCTGTTTTTATGTACACTTCAGTTTACTTATATATATTGCTGTATAGTATTCCATTTGATGCTAGATTTATCCACTCTTTTACGGATGGTCCTGGGGATTATTTTTACTTATTTGTTTACTAGAGGCCTGCTGCATGAAATTTGTGCAAGAGCAGGCCTTCCTTTCCCCAGCTGCCAGCACTGGCTACCCTTTGGCACCTGGGACCTGGGCTTCTCTTGCAGCCTGGGCTTCATCAGGATGGTTGTCTGGAAGGACTTCCAGTCTAATTAGCATGTGATGCTTTTATTATTATAGATTTTGCTTTTAAAGAGTAATGTCCTTGATATTATTGCTTGCTGTATATTTCTATGTATTATTGATGACCCAGTAATAAAACTGTCAGACAAAATTAACTTTTAATAGGTTTATTTTAATGAGTAAGTCACTTAGACATAAATTGATTAGTTACAATTTTGAAGATAGTGCTTTTAAATTTGTATTTGGAAATAATACCAAGTTTGCAGGAAAGTTGCAGAAATATTATGGAGAACTTCTGCTAACTCTTTATCCAGATTCATCAGTCTTTAATATTTGTCTCACTTGCTTTATCATTCTCTCTGTTCATTTACATTGGAATATATACAGGCAAACATATAGACATTTTAAAATTCTAATCTATTTATGAATAAGTTGCATACATCATGTTCCTTTACTCGAAATAGTTTAGTGTGTACCAGTGATCCCTATGAAGGAGGAAAGTTAAGAGTGTGGTTTTGATTCACTGACTTCAGAGCTCTACATCTCTCATCATCACTACTTTCCAAGATAACATCATACTTACACAGTTACCATGACATCTGGAACCACTCAGAAAATTGAGGAGAGGAGGTTCATAATACTATGAATGCTGGGGTTCTTGTCCCAGCCTTACAAAGGGTTCAGCATTTTGGAGAAAGGGACTGATGCAT